TGACCACCCATGGCTCCTGCCTGACCCCAGCAGCTCCCCCACACCAAAACAAAGCCCCGTTACACAACGGGCCCTCGTGACCGCCGCCCAGAAATGGAAAGTGCTGGCAGTCCAGCTCCAAATGGAATCAAAAAACCTCCCAGCACGACAACAAAGCTCCAAACAACCCCCCACCCGAGGTTTGGGTGGCTCCAGACGTCCTGGAGATGATGCCCAAACCATCACCGTGCCCACCCGCTGCCCTTCATCCCTTGTCCCCTGGGGATTCTCCACCACTTGGTCCCCATCCAGCCCCCCCGGGGGCACGTGTGACTCTTTCTGACCCAAACCAGCCCCACCCCGGCGGTGGAGGAGGAGGAGGAGGAGGGTTGGGTCGGGCCAGGGCTGCTCCCGGGGTTTCCTTTCCTCTTCTGCCAGCCAATGTCCAGGCAGACGCTGGAGCAGCGTTGGTGCCTCTGCCTGGAGGGAGGTGGCCCAGGCGGGGCTATAAATCCCTGCCCTGACTCCGGCTTTTCCTCCTGCCCTGCCTGGCCTTGGCTGTGTCGTTTGAGCTCTCGGTGAGTTGGGTTTTTTCCCACCCCTTCCTCTTCCTCTTGGCCCCCCAGATGCCTTCCAGATGCCCCATCCCACAGCGGGGTCCCCCTGCAGAGGTTGAGTGCGAGCGAGCAGAGCTCAGAGGCTGCATCTCACCTCGGAGGGCTGGAAAATGTGTCCCCCCTCCTTGCCTGGCTTGGGGCAGGGTGGGAGCTGCTGCTTCCCCCCCACGTTCTCCCCTCTGAGGTGGCTTTTCTGGGGGTTGCTCAGCACCAGGCAGCAATGCCCAGCCTGGCTGCTGGCAGGAGGGTGGCATTAAGGAGGGAGTGGGGATGCATCTAGGTGCTCTAGAGCAGTCTGGGTGATCTGGGGGGGCTGGGGAACAGCGTGAGGGTGTCTGGGGACACCAGGCTCTGCTCTCACGGGCTGTTGGTGCCCCCAGGCTTGTTGGCATCCCCCATGGCAACGCCCCTGGAGCAGTCGCTGGCTGTGATGGTCTCCACCTTCCACAAGTACTCGGGGAAGGAAGGGGACAAGTACAAGCTCAGCAAGCAGGAGCTCAAGGAGATGCTCCTGAAGGAGCTGCCCAGCTTCAGCGTAAGTGTGGGGCACCTCCCACGGGCACGGCTGGGACGTGGGGATGGGAACCCTGGCTGCAAAAACCTCAATCTAACCCCCTCCTTCCTTGTTGCCCCCGGGGCAGAAACAAACCAGCGACGCCAGTTTACAGCAGCTCATGAGCAACCTGGACTGCAACAGCGACAGCGAGGTGGATTTCCAGGAGTACGTCACCTTCCTGGCCTGCATGGCCATGATGTGCAACGAGTTCTTCCAGGACTACCCCAACAAGATGCCACGCAGGAATTGAGCGTGGGCCACCAGCCCCGGGCCACCTCTTTGCCCCCACGACCCTCCCGCTGTCCTCCTGATGTTCCTTCAATAAAAGTGGCTTTAAAGAGAGTTTTCTGCGTGCTTTGCCACGGGGGTTCCTCCCCGTAGGGACATGGAGGAGACCATTTCCCTCCCACGTGTGGGCTGCAGGTAGCCTTGGATGAGCCAGGGCTCTTCTGAGCTGGAATTTGCTCCTTGGCAACAGGTTTTCACAAAGCCAATGCCACGGGAGGCTCTGCCCAGCAGCACCCCTGGCAGCATCGTGGCCGTGCAGGAGCTCTGGGAGGGTTTAAACCCTCTGTGGCAACGGGTCCACAGCTTTATTTTTCTTTAGCCACCATTATGGAGCTCCCGTGGGGGTCAGGATCTGTTCCCCCTACCTGCTGCCTCCGTGGGGCAGGACCTGCTGTGCTGGGGAGTCACCCGGGAGCCTCGTCCCTGCCCTGCCCCAGGAGGATCCTCGGGGTGGGGTCGTGGCATGCGGAGGAGCCGCTTCCTTGCGTGCCCAGCCAGCCCTCCTGGGCCACTGCCACGGAAGGACTCAGCCCGTGGCTATAAATATGAGTTGCTGCGTAGCCACAGCCCTCCCTGCCCCACACCAGCAGGTCTCCATTTCCTCCCTCTGATCTCCTTCCCCCCCATCAAAAAGCTGCTGCCAAATTTGTCTCGCGTGCTCCAGATGTGCACCAGGCCCCTTCCAGATGTGGATGCTCCCCTCCCTGCTTGGAGCAGATCCTTCCTCAGCTCTTTTGGGGCTGCTCCGAGGTGCTGGCAAGTGAGGAGGGCACAAAATCTCCATTTCATCCAGCCTTGGCTCTGCCCCCCTCTTGGTGCCACTCCTGCCAGCCCTGGGGCTGCGTGCGGAGACGTTTGGGCTGCGCCCCGTGAGTCACCCGCAGCCACCAGCCTGTCCCACACCCTGGGGTGTTGTGACGATGAGGATGTGGAGCAGCCAGACCCAGGGGGAGTGTTTTTGCTCCCTCCTGCTTCGCTGGTATCGAGGCAAAGAGCTGCAGAGCATCCCCCGGGGTGGAGAGGGAGCGATGCCCCGCGGGCTCCCCGCTCCTTGCCCCAAGGTTGGAGCAGCTCCTGGCTGCTCGCCGAGCTCTCTGCACCCCAGTGCTGCCCACAGCCATGGCACCGACCAGGTCTGGACCATAACAAAGACAAGCAAATGAAATTTTGGGAGTACATCTCCCTCCTGGGGGCGGGCTGGCCACGATTTACAGCACTGAAGGAATACAAAATATAGGGCTGGGCCAACCGGTAGGGTGAGGGGTCTCCAGGGCTTTTTGGGGTCCTTTTTAAAGGACTTTATGTCATTTTTTCTTTGTATTTTTATGTTGTAAACTTTTGTTGCTCTGTTCCTGGTCATTTTTGGACTATAAGTAAATTAAAACCTCCTGGATAAGCCTGTTTTTCACTCTTGCTGGGGGTGGGTGGGAGGGACTCAGCAAGGGGCTGCTCCCAGCACTCGTGTCCCTGCAGGGTGATGCTCTGCCTGTCCTCCTGCCCATGATTCCCACCCAGGCACAGCACTCTCAGCAACCTTTCAAGGGCTGCTTTGCCAGGAGACCGGGGTTGCAGCTCATCTCTCTGCTCCCTTAGATGGAGGGTGTAGATGGTGGGTCTCAGAGACCCCAGCTTCTGAGACCCACCACGCCCCTCAACATCAATATTAGGAAAAAAAACCCCAGTTTCCATCCCTCCAGGCTCAGTGAAACACCTGAGAACGTGGCTGCATCCCTCAGTGGGGTGAAAACGACCCCTTCCAAAAGCTGTTGGCTCTTTCGATGCCTGATCTGGGGCTATTTGAAGCTGGCATGACGCTGTTCTCGGGCACCCCTCACCCCACCACTCCCCTGCCCCCAGCTCCATCCCTGCAGCACCAACACTCCCAGCCTCGTGGCCACCACTGGCCATGGAGCAGATGCCAACACCCCACGGTGGCCCTGGCAGGTCCCCTCACACCCTCTCGCGTGTCCCGTCACGTCTCGCTGCGGCTGCACCCGTGACCTCCTGACCTGCCCCTCCAGAAGGACCCACCCATCCTCCCCCATCACACAACCTGTCCCTTTGTTTCACTCTTTTGCAATTTTGGCTTTTTCTGGCACCAGTTCCTCACGTTCCTGGATTAGGAGGCTGATGGGGAAGACGTTGCATCACCGCTGCCCTTCCCAGCTCCTAAAAACCTTAGCGGCTGTCACGGGCTTTTTCCTCTGCTGGTCCCAACGCATGGACATGGACTGAAGGGCTTGGGCATCCTCAGGGGCAAACTCCTCACTAGCCTTCCCCCAAAACTGCCTTTTTCCCAAGCCACATGGGGTTTAGCAGCCCTGGGAACACAGGGAGGTCTTCCACGTGTGGCAGCATCCCTCCAACACCGGGAAGAGGCAGCAGTTGCCAAAGCCCTTGGTTATCATCAGGCAGCAATTAGAGCTGCTGGGAAATGCCACCTCCTAAGTCCTCGTGGCAGGTTTCCACCTTGCTGACGTGCCCAGGTTGGGAACGTTCTTTCCTGGCTCCCTGGCTGGCTGTTAAGAAATGATTCAGGAGGAATGTTCCTCGTGATTTTGGAGAGGTGACAGGGGGGTGGGACACGTTGGCCATCCCCCGACACCCGTGCAGGCTGAGGGAAGACCCCTCCACCCCAAGCCCAACTCAGCAGCGTCCAAGGCTATGGGAGCGATCAACCACATCCCACCCCACTGGGACAAAAAGGCATCATCCCACTGGAGACCCTCACCCAGCACCTTTCACAGGATCCAGAAAAATTCCTATTCCTCTTCTCCGTGGTCCCCCAGGCTCCGTGGGGAGGTCCTGGCTCCCGGGAAAGCCCTCGCGCCGTCACCGAGCCACAACGTTGGTTCCTTCCAAATGGCTTTTTTTTTGGTGTTTCCTCGTTTTGCCCCAAGGAGTTGGGTCTGTCCCCTCCCTCCTTACGAGTGGGAGCAGCCCGTTCCTGGAGCCTGGGTGTGCTGAGGAGCCTTGCACAATTCCCGGGGTCATTGGCCCGGAGGAAATTTGAGGGTGTCACAAATCGTAGCTCAGGGAGAGTATAAAAGAGAGCTCACCTCCAGCACGCCACCACTGCTCCTGCCGTGCACCAGCCTCTGCAGAAGTCAGCCCCAGCTCTGCTCCCAGGTAAGGAGGTCCTGGACAAGGGGTGGCTCCAGGCTTTGGGCTGCTGGAGGTGCCACCGGGATGAGCTTGACCCCACTGGGCAGCCCTTGGCTGAGGCTCCTGGAGGAGAGGAGAGGAGAATCCTCCTCCTCCTCTGATGAGATTTAATGTTTTGCTGCCTGTCTCTTTCTAGCAAGATGAAAACCGACCTGGAGCTCGCCTTGGAGTGTGCCATCAACATCTACCACCAGCACGCCATCAAGAACCCCATCGATGACTACCTGGACAAGACCGAGTTCTCCGAGCTGCTGAAGGAGAACGCCAAGCCCTTCCTCCACGACACTGCACCAGTAAGAGCCAAGCATGGCAGGAGTGGTGGCCTCCCTGGGGCATGAGGGTCTTGAGAGCCTCCCAAAAAGGAGGGAGGGTTTTTTTAGGATTTTCCTGAAGCTTTGCCATCCGTGCTGGGCAAGCCTCATTCTGTAGCCGTGGGCTGGTAGGGTGTCCCTGACAACCTGTGCTTCAGATTGACTCTTTTTCACGTTTGTCCCACTGCAGCCCAACATGTCCATCGATGACTACATCGGAAAGCTCTTTGCCAAAGCAGATAAGAACCACGACGGCCGCCTGAAGTTCACCGAGTTCCTCACCACGCTGAATCTCATAGTCATTGATGCCCACAACAGGTCCCACAAGCATCCAGATGGTGGTGATGGTCACAGCCATGACCATGGCCACGGTCATGACCACGACCATGGTCACAGCCATGACCACGGCCATGGTCCCCGCCATTGAAGCAGTTCCCAGGACAACTGTGCCCACAGGACTGTGCTCCTCCAGCAGCACGACCCCTCCTGTCTTTCCACAGCCCCAGAAATCCTGTGACCAAAACTTTGTCATCTGCTTCTGTCTATGGCCTTGAAATAAAATTTCCTTCTTCAAGCACCAAATGAATCCGTATTTTGTGTGTCCTGTTGTGCCAGGGAGGATGCAACGTGCACCCAGCCCGTGGCTGTTGAGGGGTTAAATGCAGATTGCACTGGAGAAGCAATGGGAAAGCCAAGGTGACATGGAGGGACCCTGCTCCCTGTAGAGCAGAGAGCCAGGACAACACTGCTGGTGGGTCCCAGCTCAGCACACAGGGAGCGTGGCAGACCCCAGCAAGTTCCCACAGCCTTCCTGAGGCTCAGCAGGTTCCCTGAACAGAGTGGTGGTCCCCAGAACCCATTGACCCAGCAGAGAGTGGGGTGTGGGGCACCCCATCGTGGTGGGCAGGTTCTTGAGTAGGGGTAACTGGTGGCTGTGCAGGAGCAACCCCAGCTCTGGTTCTCCCAGCCCCTCTTTGCACCAGCTCCAGGACGTGCCAGGGTTGAAGCAGAGCTGGGGACTCCTTTCTCTGGGTGGTTCCCCAGACCTAGCTCTGAGATTTGGGGTGCAGGATCCTGGGGGTACGTGCGATGCTTTTGCAACCCACAAAGCAACCAACGCTTATCTCACAAGTCCCAACACAGGCAAGAACGAGGCCAAGAGCCTCTGGAGAGCTGGCATTAACTCTGCCCAATAAAGCTGGGTGTTATTGTAAGCGTGGGGCAACAGTCACCCAGGTCACAGCACATTCAGAAGCCACCAAGAGCTCCACATGAGTGGGGAAGAGCTCCAGTGACAGTGTTCTGAGTGGGAAACCCTCAGGCTTGGGATGCTCCAACATTTCCAACATCAACTTCCACCAGAAGCCTGTCCCATGTGAAACCAAGCCACAGAAGGAGGCACGGGGCCGTTGGGTGGTTCTTTGCACTCAATGACACAAGTCACCGCTTTCAGGCTCCACAATTTTACCACTGGGGAGCCACCCTTGTCCCCTCAGAGTCAGACCCTATTCACTGTCCTGCCAGGGCACCTGGATGTCACCGGGGTGTCACTCTCCTGCAGATTTGGGTGAACACAACTGGGAAAGGTGGGAATCCAGAGCCCACAGGTCCATCTGCGTGGGGACTATGCAAATAGACTGGACAAAACCCCATCCTCAGCCCGTGCTTTGCATGGCCAGCTTCGGAATGAGGATGCAATTTTGGATTGTTGATAGTCCCTGGTGAGTAGAGCAGGGGGAAAAAAGCAATAAAGTGAGTCAGGGATACCAGAATAAAACTCATGCAACAGTTCTCGAAACCACCCTCGGGACACGTAGGAAGCATCCTCAGACAGGAATGGTTACCCCTTTGTTTTTCTGTTCTACCTTCTTCCTGGAACCTATTGTCCTATTTTTACATCTTTTTTTACAGTCTCTTCATTCTTCTAATACCGGTTTTACCAACACCAGAGGGGTGACATGGGGGTGACGCAAAACACTTGCTTGTTAATTCTCCACGCAGCAAAGACCCCGACCTTGAATTTTCTTCATTACGTCCAGTTTCCTCCATGAAATTTCTGGACCAAGAGCAAAAAGTCTGGCACAAACGACGTGAAAATAGAAGGGAATGGGAAAATACTCTGGAAAATGATGTGTTGAGAGGTAGATGATGCCTTCACCTTTGGTAACGTTCAGCCAATATTGAAGAAAATGGAGAGATCCTGTTAAAAACAACCAAGGGACCAAGCCACCCACGTCTCGTTGAAACAACCCAACTTTCTTCCACACCAGCATGAGAACGCACAATTTTTTCCACCACATGGCAGATTTTTTGTCAAGTTCTGCCAATAAAGACTTGCCCTCTACGTTCACGTGGAGGTGGGATGGAACATCCAGAGTTTTTCCCATTCTTTGCCCAACACAAGAGAGGCTCAACCCCGTCGGAGGTGGCGGTGGGGTGGAAGAACAGCATTTCCAACGCCCGGTGGGTGCAACCAGGAACTACAAGAAGTATGAGATGGGGAGGGGTTCAGGAGTTCCCACCTTGCAATTTCCAGGTGCGGGAAACATTAACTCAAGCTGTTGCTTGCATCAGGTGTGTCACCACCTCTGATGAAAGAGGACCTCAGACATGTATAAAAGGGCTGCACAGAGCTCTTGAATCACTCCAGGAGACCCATCGCCTGCAAACCCTTCTTGGAGACCAGGGTAAGTAACGCCATGGTGGTTCTGGAAGGAAATCAGATGAGGGAGAAGAGATTTTGAGCAGGGCACCTCACGTTGTGCCTGTTTTCTTCCAGAACGATGCTTTCTACTTGGAGCAGGGTAGGAGGTTGGGTTTTGGCTACAAGTAGCGATGAAGGCGCTTCCGTGCCATCCTCAGTGGGGGTGGCATTGTTTTCACTGGCAAGGAAAGAGCCCTTTGAGGGTGGCACCTGCACGGTGGCACCCAGCAGAGCAGCATCTCTGTGCTCGGAGGAAAGGGAGATCCACAGAGAGGAGGAGGAGGAGGAGGAGGAGGAGGTCAGGCAGAGGCTGCAATGGAACCCCAACTGTGTTCCTTGCCTTCAAGTCATCCTCTTTGTCAGATAAGTGACTACAGCCTGATGGGTTTGTCTGACTTGCCTGGCAAACGCCTCCGGGTCAGGAAAACCAAGCTGCTTCTTCAATGAAGCTAAAATTAGAGGTGGTTGGGTGATGCTGTGAAACGGTGATCTTCCTAAAAACCACTCATCACCTGCTGAGTGCTGAGGAGCTGCCAACCGGCCCCTGGGCACGCCGGGTGCTGCTGCCTTTGCTCAGCCCCGGAGAGATGAGGCTCCTGGTGTGGATCTGCTGCTAGGTTGGGGTGATGTGGGGCAACCCCCTTGGGGTGCCTGATTTTTGATGCATCTCATGGCTTTGAGATTTCTCCACACAGTTTCTGCGGGTACCTCAAGAGCTCAGCCATGTCTACGACTGCCAGGACCCCAAGCATCCGTCCTGAGTGTCAGAAGTTCCCTGGAAACTGCACACTGGAGATGGCCCTGAAGAAGATTGTGGACGTCTATCACCGTTACAGCACCCGGGAAGGCCACCCTGACTACCTCAACTTCAAAGAGTTCAATATACTGCTCAAGGAGCAGGCACCGACCTTCCTGCAAGCTTGTGTGAGTGCCACAGGAGCTCTGCTGGGCTCTCTGGGAGATGTTCACCTCGGAGGGGGCTGGGGGGCAGGGGAAGAGGCTGTGATTGCCTCCAGGGATGCTCTGGGGGAATGGGGTGCAGCCTCCACCATGACTGTGGTCCACAGAGTGGGTTTCTGTGATCAGACCCAGTTTATCCACACGCTGTGGGGCCACACGTGCTCATCCCTCCTGCCACCACAGGGGGATGAAGCAGCCAAAAGGGCTTGGGGCAAGAGCCTGTCCATTTGGGCTTTTAGCTGGAGGCTAAAAGGGAGAAGGTCACAATGACCTGGCAGCTCCCAAACCCTTCCCAAAGCATGCAAGCATAAAGCTGGCTCAATTTCCACCAGTGGGTGTGCACATCAGGGAGGAGGGGGGCACACTAACACACGTCCTGTCCCCCAATTTCAGGGCAGGAGCAGACCCAACTACCTGACCAAGCTCTTTGAAGAGACAGACGTAATTAATGACAAACAGTTGACTTTTGAGGAGTTTGTCATCGTCTTGGCCAAGTTGACCGACGATGCCCATCACATCATCCACAACGAGGACCGCTGCAAACCAGACAAGGATTGAACATCAACACTCAACCCACCCGAAACGTGGAGGGGGTTGCTTGTGGGAATTGGGCTCTAGCTGCTTTCTGTCTGCTTGGATCACTCACGCTTGTGAAACAATAAAGCATCACTTGAAGTTCGTTGAGTCCTTCCTACCTCAGCACTTCCTTTTCATGATGGGAAGGAGGGGCGTCAACTGCAGCCAATGCCTGGTCCTACTGGCTGGGGGATAAAGGTTTGTCTAAATGAGGCACCCCAAAAACCCATAAGAGGCTCATGGTTGAGATGTAGTCAGTGGGTGAGAGCTGTATTGCTCTCCAAGAATCACAGAATGTTTTGGGTGGGAAGGGACCTTTAAAGCTCCTCTAGTCCCACCCCTCTGCAGGGAGCAGGGACGTCTGCAACTAGAGCAGGTTGTCCTGTCCAACCTCTTCTGGGAGGTCTTCAGGGATGGGGCATCGACCACCTTGCTGGGCAACCTGGGCCAAGGTCTCACCACCCTCAGGGTAGAACATTTCTCCCTTCTCTCTAGTCTAAATCTCCTTATTTTAGTTTCAAGCCACCACCTTTCAACCTGTCCCAACAGCCCCTGCTCAGAAGCCTGTCCCCAGCTTTCTGACAGGCCCCCTTGAAGTCCCAAAAGGCTGATCTGAAACTGTTGTTCTGGGGGGCTAGAAGGGTACTAGTGGCCAGAAGACCAGCACAAGGCATCTTCTGAGCTCAGTCAGGGTTTTATCCACCAGCTGCAGCACAGAGCTGCTGCTTTAGAGGTTTTTCTCCTGGCAGAGGAGTTTTTCTGCACAGATTTGGAAGGGCAGAGCCAGCCCAGCTTGGGGGAGCACTGCCTGTTTTGCCCATCCTCATCCCAAATTTTCCCCTTGGCCATGCCAAGGACATCTTCTGGATGCAGAATCACCCATGAGGAGGAAAAAAAACATTAATACTCATGCCAACAGCAGCTCCCAATGGAACACAGCCTTTAACCATGAGAACAAGCCAGGAAAAAAATCCACACAAGAGTTACTATGGGTATATATAGCTCCTAGTCCATGGGGAATGGTGAGATTTAAAATTTTCTCCCCAAATCCCAGCGAAAACTCAAATTTCAGAGTTTTCCCACACAGACAAGTCACCCAGAGGGCTCCCTCCCAAAGCTGCTGGATCACCCACTGCCCAGCTAAAAGGAAACTCTTGGATGGGTTCCACCTCAGAGCTGTTTTTTCCACTAGTAAAATACTCACCAAAATCCTGACACGAGGGCACAAGGACCTTGTCCCTGGTTGAGTCACCTGGGAGAAGTCTTGCAGCACCAAGAAACCATTTCTGGGTGCTAAGTACACTGTAATCCAGCTCTTTTCCTCATCAAGTGCTCAGGTATCACCACCCCTGAGCAGGCAACTGCCCCAGCATGAGCAAGAGCAACACTTTGCAAGTGCAATGGCCATGCCCAGCCCCACAACCTGCTGGAGCTCCAGGAGGGCTTGGAGAAGGTCCTGCAGCCGTTGCATCATGGACAAGAGAGCTGCCTCTCTGCTCCCTTTGAGCTGGACCAAGGTGGTGCCCGCCAAGCAGTTGAGTTTGTAGGTGTTTGACATGGCTGAGGCATGGAAAGGGTTTTTTGGCTCGAGCTGAAGGGTTGCTGGCTGCCCTGGGAGGTGGTGGAGTCACCATCCCTGGAGGGGCTTAAGAAGTGTGTAGACGTGATACTTCAGGACATGTTTTCGTGGTCATGGGAGTGTTGGGTTGATGGTTGGACTTGGTGATCTTAGAGGGGTTTTCCAACCTTAATGATGCTACAATTTCTATGATTCTGTGGCTGGGAAATCCTTTCCTGTGACTCCAGGATGGGAAAACCTTTCTGCTGCTCCAGCTCCCGTGGTGGCTGCTCATGCCAGGCTGCAGTTGGATCATTGCTGGTCTGATGATGCTCAAAAGCTCTCAGGAGCCAGGGCCACCATGCTCCTTGGCTTCCCCAAGCTAGAACATACATCCTGTCCTGATCCTGGGCTACAACCTGCTGTGAAATACGGAAACCCACATGGTGACCAACCCTGCCGTGCCCTCTTCCCACATCAGCCAGCCACTTGCCTGTAAACATGTGTTTTGAAAGACTTTTGCAACCATTGTTAAGCATGGGGGTGGCCCTGCCAGGGCTCAGGTCCTCAGGGCAGAAACAAGTCCTGTCACCTCAAACAAGCTCATTCACTTGCCATGGCTATCGGGTTGCTTGGCCCAGGCCTGCTTCCCACTCCTTCCCCTCTGTAGCTCCAGCAAGGAGACGTTTGCCCAACCCTGGTGGCTTTGGGGCCACAACTGTGGCTTGCTGCTTCAACGTGGCTTATGGCCATGGCAGGACAGAAGCTCCCCCTGTGAGGAGAGCTGCAGAACCAGGTAAGAAGTTGTCCTGGCACACGTCCCTGTGACCCTAAGCAATCCCCAGACTCCTTGGTCAACTTAGTGGCTGCACTGGCACTAAACCCCCCAGATTTCTGGGGCTTCATCCCTGCTGCCTGGTGAGCACATCCGTGGGTCTAGCCACCATCTGGTTTTGGTGATCCTTGGCCTATCCTAGACCCTGTAACCTATCCTGGCTCTTCCCACCTCCAGGATGATTAAAATGACCAGAAATAGGGTTTCCTGAAATTGCTACAAAATTCTGCAACTGAGCAGACGGCCCCTGACACCCTGTTGTGAAACACCCCAGACCTTCTCCAGCTCTTCTGTGCACCAGGGCACTCCTGTTGTGAAATGCAGAGAAGCCCCAGAAGTGAGGGCTGAAGTCCAGGTGGCCACCATGAGCAGGGCTGCAGCCCCACGGGGCTGCCCAGTGTCATACAACCCCAGACTGGTTTGGGTGGGAAGGGACCTTCAAAGCTCCTCTAGTGCAACCTCCCTGCAGCGAGCAGGGATGTCTTGAAGGCCTCCAGGAATGGGGCATCGTTCACCTCTCAGGGCAACCTGGGCTATGGTCTCACCAGCCTCAGTGCCACAACTTTCTCCCTTCTCTCCAGTCTAAATCTCCCTCTTTTAGTTTAAACCCATCACCCCTTGTCCCAACCCTCACATCATCTCCGTGGCCTCCTCTGGCCCTGCTCCACCAGGAGCTCAGCTCAACTCACCAGAAGCTCCTGTAGCTTGCTCCAGGCTTGTTCATGGCCCTGTTTTGGCCTCCACTTTGTGTCTGAGATTAGTGTCATGTTTGGCAGGTTAAACAAACCCCCAGACAAGTCAGCTGAGTCAGCAGGCAGAGAATTTTAATAAAGGAGCACTGGAAAATCTCGTTTTGCTCTTGATCTTCACCACTGGGAGCCAAAGCGCCCGCGCTCGGCTTCCTCAACACCCAGGAACAACAAAAACCAGCCAGCCACGGAACGAGGACACGGTCCTAAGAGCTAAACCCACCCAGTTCAGCCACACCTGGTCTCCAGAGCTCAGAGCATACCTGGGGTGGGGAGAAACCACCCTTGGCACCGGCTGTTGGTAACCTGAGGAGATTCAATGAAGTTCCTGGAGCCCTGCCCTGGATTATTTGTCTCTCATAAAGAGCTGCCTGCTGCAGGCAGGGGATGGTCCCACCCAGGGACACTACCCTGAGCACCATCTCTGTCCCTGTGTCACACAGGCAGCCCTGCTCGTGCTCTCAGTGCTGGGCTGGGTGAAGTGGTGGGACAGTGGGGCGATTTTGGGTGCACAGGACCATGGAATCGTACAGTGGTTTGGGCTGGACATGACCTTTAAAGCTTATCTAGTCCAGTTACCTGCAGGGACATCTGCAACTAGAGCAGGTTGCTCAGAGCTCTGGCCAACCCCACCTGGAACAGTTTCAGGGATGGGGCATCAACAGCCTTGCTGGGCAGCTTGGGCCAGGGGCTCACCACCCTCAGCATCCAAAATTTCTTCCTTACATCCAACCTACATC